CAGGTGAGGGAGTAGGGGGAGGAGGCCAGTCTGTGGGGAGGGGGAGAAGCCTGAGGGCTCCAGCCCCGCCTCTCCCAAGGCCCGCCCCTCCCAGTATGCAATGGGGTCTTACCTTCGAGGTGCTGGCCTCTGAGGGGCACCCACCATGGCCCCAGGTCCCTTATCTCAGCTCATCATCTGTCTCTGCTCCACAGCAATTGAAAGACATTTAACTTAGTGAAATTTGAAGGTGTCTGTGGAGGGGGCTGCTCCCAGGGGAGCTTTGTGCCCAGCCCAGCACACCACCAGTCCTCTTTCTTGCCTTTTCCTGTAAGAACAGTTTCCAGAGCTGAGGGAAACTGATTGTTAAGTGAAACTCTGATAATTGCCTCTGAAATGCCTGCTGTTATTGTGATGGACCTGGCCGTGAGCAGCCCTGCTCAGCAATCCCACCACGGTTCCCTTCACTGCCTTAGCCGTGATGGGGACATCCTGCCCCAGGCAAGCCACCATCAGAAACTTCGTAGCAGCATCACCCTCATAGGCAGCCCTAACCCTCCAGGATGTGATGAGGAAAAGAGGCTCAGAGAAGTTAAACCATACACCTGGGGTCACACAGCTGGCTGGCAGGGCCAGACTCAAGCCTGGGCCTCTGCCCAGGTTCAGAAACACTCTGACCTTGATTTAGATGTTCATTGTACACCTACTGTGTGCCAGGAGCTGGGTTACAGTAAACTCGACAGCTGCCAGATACAGCTCCCACCAAGCTCAGAGCTCAAGAGAGAAAGCAGACAAGGTAGAGGGTTCTCTGAGTGCTATGATGGGGGAAGATGGGGCCTTGGCCGGGGTCACAGAGTGGTTAGGAGGAGAATGAGATTTAAATTAACACCTCAGGGCTTGGAGAGTGAACCAGGCTGGAGGAGTCTGGGCAGGAGTGCACAAGAAGAGAGCAGAACCTGCAGGTAGCTGGAAAGCCAGAGACTGCAGGTGGCTCAGCCCGGAGCCTGAGCAAGGAGCCGGTCCCAGGGGAACAGGCACTCAGTGATGGGAACGGAGCATATCTCCCCAAGACGGGCAGGAGCCTGGAGATGGGACTGAACTGTGGCCCCGCCTTTGCCCCTGCTCTGCTGAGAGACTTGGTAGGTTCTCCCTTCACCTCTGGGCTTCAGATCTTGGGCCGGAGGGGTGAGGGCCTGCCAGAGCTGTGAGCACGTCTCCCCAGCAGCACCCCTAGCAGGCCTGACTGTTGTGAGCTCTGCGGAGGCAGGAGCCCAAGGCTCAGAGCGCTGATGGGCGGGGGGAGCCCATGGACTGGGCAAAGGCAAAAGGAGGCTTCCAGAGGAGGTGACACAGTCTTAGGGCTGACTGAGAAGATGGGAATCACATTCCAGGCAGAAAGAATGGATAACAGAGGAAGGCCCAGAGGTGGGCAAGAACCTGCTTGGAACCAGCAAGAAAAACCCCAGGGGACTGGTCCCTATGGGTAGCTTCTGGGGCTTGGAGCAAGCTGGCTGCCAAGAACCCACCCACCCTCTGAGTGAGTACAGTTACTATCTCCAGTTTACAGGCTGGAAATTGAGGGCCCAGGGAGAAGTCACTTGCTTGAGGAAGTCAGGATTTGAACCCAAGGCTCCAGGGTCCAGGCTGTGATCCCCCCTCATGCATGCTGGTGGGTGGTCCCAGTCCTCCCACCCTCTCATCCTCAGGCCTGACAGACCTCATGCAGCCACAGCCTGTCCTCTCCACCTCCATTCAGCTGCCTCGGCCCTTCCTCCCGCACTACCAGGCCTGTGTTTTTAGCAGTTTCCACACGTCCAGCACCCGGGGATGGACTGATTGATCTGTAACACCGAAAAAATAATAATGGCTTGATCGTTACTGAGGATTAAAAGTAATCCTTTCGCTGTGGCTATTGCAACTCTGTTATTCACGAGTCAGCGGGCTGACCTGGGACTTGGAGCCCGTGGGACTCCATGAGTTCAAGGAGGCTGGGAGCTGGGGCCCTCCCTCCCTGGGTCTCCCTCACCTTGGCTACTAGGCTAGGGAGACAGAAGGGCTGCAGCCCCCATGTCCCTAGGGACTGTGAGTCCCAGGTCAGAGCTGAGCTGTGAGAGAGTGAAGGAGCTGGCACCCCCTGGCCAGCGGGGTAGGTGGGGGGGAAAGGATGGCTCCTGAAGGCCTTCGCCCAGTTTGGAGACTTCAGCTAGTGGCAGTTTGGTGTTTGTAATTCCATCAACCCTGTGGCTTTTCTGTGGCAAGGGTTGCTCCCACGCCTTGCCCCAGCCTCATCCCCCGTGAAGGAGCCCCATGTGAGCTCCAGGCCCACTCGGAGAAAGGTCTGGGCTCCCTGGGAAGGTGGTAGGCCACTGGGTAAGGAAAGGGGGCTGCAGTGACTGCCCAAGGCTGACCTCTCGAGGTGTGGCCCTGAGGGCTGCTCCCTAGGCTTCCCTCTCTCATCCAGGCTAGGTGCTGAGTTTGCATAGTAGGTGCTCAGTTAACGTAGTGACAAGTGTTGTCAACCATACATGTCACACAGTACTGTCCTCTGCAGAAGGGCACTGCGGGCTCGTGAATCAGGGCCCTCACCCATTCTGGGAGTTGGGGTCGAGGTGGAGTGTTTGTGGTTTAGGCCAAGAGAACGCCCCAGGATAGAAAGAGAGGGGCAGGAGTTGCTCAGGGCCTCAAGAAAGCTTTGCCTTTTATAAGCAGAGCCACAGGGAGCTGCTGAAGGGTTTAGGGGTGGGGAGTAGCCACATGATCAGATCCATGTTTTGAAGGCTCCGGGTGCTGTGCAGAGCATAGATGGCAAAGGGCAAGAGAGGACACGGAAGCCTTGGGAGGACGGAGCCCGGCTAGGGGCGAACAGTCGATAGTTTGGGTGATATCAAGGGTGGGATGTAGGAGCAGTGGTTCCAAGGTGGATGGGCTCATTCCAAGAGGGGATGGGGTGAGCTGCAGTGGGCCTGAGGGCCACCCCAGGAAGGTGTCCAAGAGCTCAAGAGGGGCCAGGATTCAAGGCAAAACATGGGAGACCTCTGGTCCCTGGAGTAGAGAGGCCTGTGGTCCCTGAAGCTGGGTAAGGGGGTGGGGCCCACCAAGCAGGCCCTGCACTAACAGGTAGGCAGAGGACAGAACCTGCAAAAAAGATAGGGGGTAGCAGGAGAGGGAGGCTGAGGCCAGGAGGAGCTCAGCATTGTGAAGTGAGGGGGTTTGACTTCCAGAGGGACTTTCCTGCCCTGCCCCCGGGACCCCCAACCTCGTAGCCTTCCCAGCATTCAGCGCTCTTGGCCTGAGGAGGAGGGGGAACCGGGTCCAACGGGAGTGGGGATGGCTCTGGACAGCCCCTCTAACTGCCAGGGGTGGCATCCTGCCAAAGAGAGTGGAGGTCATGGCTCTGCAGGGAGTCCCACCGTGCCCCCCACACACACACTGTTCCATGCTGAGAGCGAGGAAAAGCTGGTCTCCCATGTCCTGACTCCCTTTTCCCCTAATGCACAGCTGCCAGGCTTTATTAGAACCTCCCCTCTGGGGCCCACGTGCCACATCAGGCCTGGACTGATGCATGGGGGCATGTGTCCTGAATACCAAGAGGCCAGGGCCTTTGAGTAGGGGCTGGACCCAGGAGGCAGGACCCTACTACTCCACCCATAGGATGGAGTGGGGTGATGGGGGACCAGAATCCCTTCCCCACAAGAGCCGCTCTGTCCCCCACTGGGCGTGGTGGGCCCTGTGGAGTGCGCCTTCAGACCTTGGTCATGGGCTGGGCAAGGCAAACCGGTGATGAGGGCCAGGCTCAGGGCCCCAGCCCGACCCAGACTCACTCTGTGACCTCGGACAGACTGCTCACTATCTCCGTGCCTGGGTATCCTTATCTGAGGAGGACATATCAGGCACATTGTGAATGGTGACAGGTACACATGATGTGTCACTGGCCTGGGGGACAGCTTGGCATGCAGTAGGTGGCCAGTTCGTAGTGACAGTTGTCATAATGATTAATAGGAGTTCACTGCACTCAGCTCTGCGGGAGTTCCCAGAGGGCCATCTTTGGGAGCCCCAAGGGTTCCTAGAAAGACAGGATCCATGGAGGCGCAAAATGAGAATCTCTGGGCAGCCAGGGTTCAGGCCCTGAGGGTGGCTAAGTACAAGTGCCTCCTCCAGGAAGCCTTCCTTGACATCCCAAGTTCCCACAATGCTGAGCTTCCTCGAAGCACCTCAGCTGCTCCTGCGTGGTTGTTCTGCCCGGTTGTGTGTCTGTTTCCCTCTCTGGACTGTGACAGGGCAGGGCTGGCTCTGCCATATCTCTACACATCAGTACAGTCTGGCACCAGGTGTGCCAGGTAACAAGGTGTGGGTTGGACAGACACACAACTGTGCTCACAGGCACAGGGGCCTTGATGGAAGAGGCTGCAGGAACCAGCCCCAAAGACAGGCCAGGCTTGTGTGGACAGAAGGCTTGGAGAGCCCTGCTGGGGAGGGGCTCAGGAAGCTGGGACAGGGACAGTGGTGGTGGGCCAGGGGGAGCAGAGGTGGGCTGTGGGCGCCTCCTGCTGGGCCCTGAGCAGGCCGGGGGCAAAGGCGCATCAGCAAGGCTCTGTCATTTGTGGCAGCCCACCCTTGGCTGGGGAGGGCCTTCCTCTTGGTGCTGGGGTGACACTGGTTTGTGGAGGGTAGAGAGTGGCAACGGGGCTTGGCTCCAGGGCCTGGGTCCTGCTACGTCCTGGGGTCCCCCTGCCATCCTATGAGCAGGAGATGTGGCCAGGCTGAAGTATAGGGAGTCCCATGGAGTTGTCACTCAGGTCACTTTGTGCAGGCTTCACCTTTCCTGTGTGAACCCAGCTGTGGGTAGGGGAAAAACCCATACAGCAAGCTGGGGATTGTCTGGGCCAGGGAATCTCTGGGTCTGGCAGGATGAGGGGTGGGAGTCCCTGGCCCCAGGGAGTGCTGGGGCTGGAGAAGGCTTTGGGCTGGGCAGGGCAGCCGGCCTTCCTTAGCCTCTGACCTCCCTGTGCTCTTCCCCTCAGAGATTGGCTGATGCTGCAGAGAACTTCCAGAAAGCCCACCGCTGGCAGGACAACATCAAGGTAAGAACGGCAGTGCCCTCCCCAGCCCCTAGGACCTGCCCACCACCCTCAGCAAGGGTGGAGGTGAATGCGGGGGAGGGAGGAGGGGAGGCTGCTATACCCGCTGCAGGGGCACCAAGGGCTCTGTGGAGTGGAGCTGGGAACCTCTGTCCAACGTTCAGCAAACATTTGAGGCTCCCATTGGTGCTGGGACATAGGCTGCAGATATGAACTTCTCATTCCACCGCAGAGGGGCTGGGGAGTCCCCCACAGGCAGGCAGGCTGCTCTTAAGTAATGCTTCCCAAAGTTGCTGTCACCTGGGTGGTTAAGGAGGTGCCCACACTGCTTGGAGAGCCCCTGAACAAAGAAGCCTCTTGACTCCAGGACTTTTCACACTATAATACACTGACCTGGAAGAGACGTTGGGAAAAGGGCACTCTATCTCCTTCCTAGGACTTCCCTAAGCAGTAGCCTGTCTTCCAGAAGGCCCTTGGGCTGGGATGGGGGACCAGGCTGCCACAGCCACAAAAGCCTCTCCTTCCACCAGAAGAGCTCAGATGGAACCCAGGTGCCAGAGGAGTGGAGGTGTGAGAAGCTGATACAGGACTCTCTTTGAGGGCAGAAGGGCCCAGAATGTGAGGGAGGGAAGGGAAGCCTCACTGACCCCTAGCCTCAAACCCAGATGGCCCTCACAAAGTGAGGCAGCTGTGTTTGATTTGAGCTGGGGCTGGATACAGCCACACCCTTTATGTCAGGCTGGCATCTCAGAGGGTCGCAGTAAGCCAGAAGAAGAGACTGAGGCAGGGTTCCTCTCGGACTCAGGGAACCCCCAATACCAAGGAGGATGGAACCCTGAGGGACCAGACCAGTTGGCAGGGCTTGCTGTGTCCTCCACAGCTGCACAGGTGTCTGGGCCATGCCTCCTGGTGGTCTCTGTGCTAAACATATGGAGAGGCACCAAGAGCTGCCCCCTGGGACCCAGGGAGGAATAAGGAGGGTGGGGGTGAGGCAGACGCTTGATCACTCCCGCTCTGGGCCTGGCACATCTAGGAGGCAGGAGGGATCATTATCCCTACTTACCTGCCGAGAACACTGAGACACCGAGGGGTTAGACCTATCTAAGGTTACCTGTTGGTGGCGGAGATCCACAGCTGGGCTGTCAGGTGCCGGGGAGTTCACGCCTATGATCCAGGCACCCTAAATCTGTTCCTCTTCCCCAGTCTCCATCCCCCCAGGCCACCCTGAGCCCTGCCCTGCCTTGCCCACACCATGGCATTCTTCCTTTGCTGTCTAGTGGGTGCTGGGGGCTGCCCTCAGGGAGCTCACGTGGGGTTGGGGGAAACACAGTTTTTTACGGTGAACACATAAATGAGCAGTGACTCCCTGGACCCATCCTCCCTCCCCAGAGCTCAGGACTGGCCCTTTTCTCATCCCCATTCCAGCGCCACCACAGATCACTAGGCCCCATGTCTCCTCAGCCCCTGGATCAGAAATACTGCAGCAGCTTTTTGCACTCCCTCGCTGCTCAGACCATGCCCCCACCTGCAGATAACCCCTGCCCTGGCAGCTCTGCCGCAAGGCCCAGCCCTGAGCCTGCAATCAAGGCCCCAGGATCTGGCTCTTCCTGCCTTTCTTGTCGACCTCACTCCTCCTTCCCCTCCTCCTGTGCTCCAGCCGCACTGAACACCTCACTCCACGCCCGTTCCTGATCTCTCTGCCCTGAATGCCCTCTGTTCCTCCTGGAGGCCCAGCTTGTCTTTTCTTCCTGGTGAGGCTGCCCCCACTCCCCAGCCCATCAGCCCCTCCACCTTCTGGGCATCCAGGACCCTCAGCTCCTGCTCTGGCCCTTCCTTTGTTCCTGACGAATCTGCTTCCTTTCCTCCCTGCCTAGGACAGGTGTGCAGAGCAGGCACAGGAGAGCCAGAGAAGGAATCGGGGAATAAGGGAATGAAAAGACTCGCCCTCAGCCTGGCTTTCTCTCCCTCCCAGTCCAGGCCCCAAACAGGAAGGTGAAGAGGCTTCCTCGGCCCCAAACCTGTTTTCTCTTCTTGGCTCTGCAGAAAAAACAAGATTTCCAAGGGGCATCCTGCCGGACCCCTGACCCCTGATTTTCAACTACTCCCCAAGGCAGGAACAGCTTATCCCAGGCCAGAGTGGGCACCACGGGGCCTGCCAGGAAGGAGGGCCAAGGTCTCAGGGGCCTCCAGGGGGTGCTGAGACAGGTGCTGCTGGAGGACCTGCACCCTGCACACTGGGTCACAGTCCCTGTGGGACCCAGCAAGGGCTTGCCCCGCTCTGGGCTTCAGTTTCCCCATTTGGCAAAGGACTGGCTGGCGTTGGTGCTGCCTGTCAGCTCAGGCATGGTGTGTGAGAGGGTCGGTCCACACATCAGGCCATATAGGCACCAAGTCGGTGAGGATTTGTAGGCATCTCTGGCCACACCAGCCCACGGGCCCTGAGTGCTGCTGTCCTGAGATGAGGTGGAGTGGGCTCTGGCTGGCCCCCTCCGCCTGGCTTGACCTCAGATGCCCCCAGCTGTGAGTGTGACCACAGGGCCAGCTGGGCCCAGCTTTATTTGCCCAATGCCCCCCAGTCTGTCAGTCTGCCTGTCTTTCTGTCCCACCAGTATCTTGGGCAGGGTGGAGCTGTAGTCACTGCATCCTTTCCAGCCGCAGGGTCAGGGCCCTGCTCTTACCCAGAAGCACTGCAGCTGCCCTAGCTGCCATGCTGAAAGGCATTCGTGCTAATGGTGGCCCATTAACTGACACACCGCCAGCCCTACGTGGCCTGCCAGAGAGAGCTAATGGCAGCTGCAGGTGGGGACTGTCCATGCCAGGGGGGATACAGGGACTTGAGGTTGGAGAAGGGATGGTGTTTTTGTCCCTTGCAGGCACACCACCCACCCTTGAAACCACGTCCTTCCCAATGACCTTCAGGAGGTGACAGATAAGGAGCCATGTCCCTCCCCAGCACTCAGGAGAGGCACTCGGCCTGTGCCACAACCCCACCCTCAGACTCAGGCCCTTTACGCAAGCCAGGTCTTCTCCTAGGCCCTTACCTCCTTCTTCTGAAGGGTAACGCCTCTCCCTCTCCAGTTAACTCCCTAGGGCTCCTCTTTCTGGCCCCAACCCTAGGATTGGCCTCCACTGCCCACAGTGCCCACCTTTGGTGCCTCCATCACAGATAGTTCCCAGTGCAGGCTGCCCCAGGCCAGTGTCCCCAGTGGGCTCATCTGTCTGCCCCACTCATGGCTTCTTTAGGCCAGAAGCAGTTGGGCCTGACCCAGTGCTGCACAGCATTGTCCATGTGCCCAGCCGGGTACCCTATGGACAGAGCAACCAGGAGCACATGGGCCTCAGTCTTCTTACCTCTGAGATGGGGAGGATGGCACCCAGCAGTTCTGGGCACAGAGGAGACGCTTGGCCTGTGAGGCCAGACTAGAATCCACTGCATGGTCAGTAGGGTGTGACCCTCCCTGTGTCAACAGCCCACAGTAGGTCTGCATGCAGACCTCTGAGAAACAGACAGTGGTGAACCCACATGCACACACACATAGACACACCATCGACACCAGCCTGGGGACTTGCAGGATCCTGGAGTCTGCAGGGTCAGAGCTAGGATAAGAGAGCAAAGAAGAGATCTCTGGGCATGAAGGCCCCCTGCTCCCCTCCCTAGTCCCAGGCCATGACCCCACACACCTGGCCGTGGCAGAGGCAGGGAGCCTGTAGCCACAGCCCTGACCGCAGCCCTTGGACACCAAGGAAACCATGGTCCTTGTTAGCAGACAGCACCTCCCATGGCCCCTGCAGACAGGCAGCAGGTGCTCTGGTGCCCATAACACTTAGGGTAGATGAAGATGGCCTGCCTGCTGGACACTGTGCCTGGTGCCAGCACCTCACTATGCCAGCATTATCTGCCATCTAAACTGCCACCAGAGAGGAGCTGGGCCAGGCCATGGGTTGGGGAGGCAGGAGAGGCCATTGGCCTCAGGGCCTCAATGCCAGCCCTAAGGCCTGCAGGATACAGAGCCCTGCCCTGGGAGTGTAATGAAGGAAGCAGCCCTACCCTGGGACGTCTGATGGGGGCGACACAGCCCTACCCTGGGAAGTCTGATGGGAGAGGTAGCTCTGCCTGGGAACCTAAAGGGAGGGCTATGAAGTCTGAGCCAGGCAAGGGGAGCTGGCTGGACAGGACAGGTGGCCTCCCCAGCCTGAGGTCTGCCCCAGCCATCAGGCCTGTTGCCTGCCTGTCTGCCAAGCCAGCGACAGACGGCTTTCTCAGAAAACAGTCTTCTTGGCTGAGCTGAGCTGGCAGTGAGCCAGGGCAGGGAGGCCAGGTATCCTCCCTAGTGCAGCCAGGTCGCTGGCCTGGGCCACGCATGGGGCCTGGTGGGCAGGCGGCAGTCAGGTCTCGCCAGGCTATGCAGCTGCCTTTCACAGCACCAAACATAGAGGCCAACAGCTATTCCCTGCGCTCACCCCATGCTCACTTGTTCACCCTCTACCTCACCTGCCATCACCTCTCACGCCCTCTCTTGGGCTTGCTCCAGCTAAGGAGAGTATATATATCATCTATACAAGGACTGTGTGGCCCCCAGCCCCACCCCTCATGTCATCTATGTACAGAAATCCACATGGGAGGCAGGCATGTAAGTTCAGAGGGGGTGATTCCCCCGATTCCCTGCCCAGTTTGAGCAAAATGTTCCCTAAAATACCTGTAACAGAGAGGGGTATCAGGGCTATGGATCCTGGACTTTAAGGACGCCCATTTCACCCCAACCCTGGGGTTTCTTCCGCATTCAGGCCTCTCCCAGGGCTGTGGAGTTACAAATATAAGGGAACCCAACCATGGGTATGGTTGGTCCTGACCCCTGGGGAGGCCCAGCTCCCTGTGCTCTGAGCACCCTCAGAGGACGCATCATCAACCTCTTTTATTTTATTGATTTTATAAGTGGGAAATCAAGATCCTGAGATAAAGCCTCATTGAGGCTGCAGGATTTATCAGGCACCCTTGTGTCATCAGTGAAATGGGGGTGACCCCTGGGAGTCCTCCTGGGGCCACTGAGGTCTCCACTTATTGCTTAGGATCCCAGAGCTCACATGTTGAGGCCAGAGGCCAGAATTTGAAGCCAGGATCCTTTGCCAAGGCCCTTGCATGTAATTGCTATGTGGTACTGTCTCCTTGTTGTCTAACCCAGAGGCAGGGCACCTACAGTGAACACTGGGGCACTGTGCAGGACAAAGCAGACACAGAGGCCTTTCCAGGGACCCTCCCACCCCAACCCTGATGGCCCCATCCTGCCCTACCCCCAGCTCCACATCACATCAAGCATAACAACCACAGCTGTGTTTACAATGTATTTCCATACATGTGACCTTGCCCGCCACCATCCCATGCTAATGTTACTCTCTACCAAAGAAGGCACATGGCCTAGCCCTCTCAAGGTGGAAGAGGTGGGGAGTCCTGCCCACATGCATCCCAGCCCCTGGGGGACAAGGACCGCATACAGATTCCTGAGCCTCACCCATAGTCTGCAGGGGGCTGGAATCCTCCTGTATAACACGTTTCCCCTGTGTCCCTGATGCCACCAACATCTGATCCTCCGCTGAGACCAAGAAATAGCAGGACAAAACGACAAAGGCAGCCATTGGAGCAGCTGGAAGTGTGGCCCAAGTGAATGCCAGGGGGTCCCAGGGGGCAGGCAGGACTGAGCCACGGCCTGTGAGGGGAGCCCAGGCTCCTGGAGGCCTGAGAGTGGTCGACCTCCACCCATGCCCTTTCCTGTCCTTGTGGAAGGTTTGCCTAAAAAGTTGGTGAGTGAAGCCCCATGTTCTAATCTGCAGTCTTCCCACTGCACCCGCCTGTTTTCATTACGGAGGGAAAGAGCATCAGAGCCGTGTTTATAACCCCCCTTTAGATAACAAATCACATTTTCTTTTCGCCAGCGAGTGTGTTGAATTGATATTTTTTCCCCTCGGTTTAATGGGTTTGTGTGTTCAGGAATGATCTCCATCAACCGAAACTCCTTATTGTGTTTGATGTAACGTCAGCTTTCATTACGCACTTTAGTCGGAGCCAGGCACAGGGAAAGGCCGAGCACCCTGGAGCCTGGGCCCCAGCCCCGGCCCCTGCCCTGGGCCCACCTGGGCTCCCATCTTCCTGGACTGGTGGGTGGGCAGGTGTGGAAGGGGATGGAGATGAGTCGGGAAGACAGGTTGGAGCCCCGCCAGTGTCTTCACCTGCAGGCCGGGGGTCACAGGGCTGGTGGGAGAACCCTGTAACAATATGTGTGCAGCTTTACCCACAGCAGATCCCTCAGGTGACTAAAACTATCAAGTCACCTTGACTCTTACATTCATCAGGAGGTTGTGGCCATGCCCAAGCATGGTGCCAGGCCTGTAGTCAGTGTTCCAGAATGCTTGGACTATGCCTAAGATCCAGCCAGTGTCCTGCACCCCCCCAGACCTCTGGTGGGAGACAACCCGTGACTGTTCCCCACAAGCCCCAGTACCAACCACCTCAAACCATGGCCTCCAACTCAGCACCAAGGCCAAGCCCCTCTCTGAAGCATGAGGAGCCTGAGCTCAGAGAGGGAACATTGCAGCCCTGAGCAAATGGAGTCCAGCCAGGCCCAGGGAAGGAGTGGCCAGGGTGACTTCTGCCTGCAGTGGAGTAAGTGCAGGCTCTGTGCTTGCTGTTCTACAGCCAGACCCCTGGGAGCACACTAGGTCATCACCCCCATTTGCAGCCCACAAAGAAACAGGCCCCCAGTGGGTGAGAGACTGCCGGGGCCATGCTGCGGGTTTTATTGTACAACACAGGGCTGAGGAGCACCGGGGGAGGGTGACTCGGACCGTGGCCCTATCCCATGTCCTGGCCCTAGGGCCCATCGGGGCAGGGGTAGGGTGGCCCCTCCTGAGTGGGTGGCACTTGATGGCACCAGATTCACCTTCTGGCAGCCTCTGTTAGCCGTGCTCAGTTCTGATTAAAGATCATTAAACATGAAATTAGCCCATTTGTGTTACGAGTCCCTGGGGTGGCCGGTGATTATGACGCCCAGATGGCCAAGAACCCAGGCGGCGGACGAGTGGGCAAGGCCAGGACGGGCAGGATGAGCACAGGCACGCGAGGGCTGGGAGGCAGGCGCCGGGGCCAGGCTTTGTTTTCCCCTGCTCCTGTTGTGTAAACCCCCTTGCATTTCACAACAAATCACAGATAATTAATAAGTACATGCCCGTAATGAGCAGGCTTTTTAATAGGAGAAATTGGAAGATGCGGCGTCGAGTCATTATTTCACTCTAGCCCAGACTCGGCTCTGTTTTCCTGTCTTCCTCACTTCCCCCTAGTACCACCTCAGCCGGAGTCTCTGCAGACAGGCTGGCTCTGACCCAACCTCCCAGCGGGGCTGCAGTGCAGAGACCCTAGTCCTGGAGTCAGGGGCCCCAGGAGATCCGACCTGGGGTACCACATCCCCCTAAAGCCTGTGAGGGCCCCTGAGCACAGCCAGCTGGAGGTGAGGCATTCCCAGCCTGACTCATCCAGCCTTCCCTGGGTGGCAGCTCTGGGTGGGGGAGGGGCTGTCTCTACCTGTAGGAATCTGAGGGGACTGTTCCAGGCCTTGGGCTGGGGGTCCTGGCTGCACCTCAGGAGACCTTGAGCTGTGAGTGTTGAGGCCTCTCTCCCCCACCAGGAAGAAGACATCATGTACTATGACGCTAAGGCTGACGCTGAGCTGGTAAGTGCCCCTGCCTACGCTGGGTGGAGGGAGCTGCTGGAGCTACACGCCCTCTCTGGGCCTAGTGGCCTCAGCTGTAAAACGAGTGTTAGGACACAGCGCTCTTCAGCAATCTGAGCTCCACCCTGCAGAGCTGTGGTCCCCCCCTACACCTCCTACAACTCCCTAGAGGCCCTGACCCCTCTGGGGCTATGTCTCTGTGGCACTAAGGGGTGCAGCCTTGCTGCACAGCGTGAGGCAGGCCCAGCCCCGTCCCTGGGCAGGGCGGTGAGGCGCGTGGACCTCCTCCCATAGGTCAGTTCAGGTGCCAGCGTCAAGAGGGATGCTGAGTGCCATGAGAGCAGGGGAGAGAGGGAGCAGTTGGGGAGGCTTCCCAGAGGTGGGCAGGTATGGCTAAGACACAGGGTAGTGCCATCCAGGTGCATTTCAGGTCAGTGCACCCTTCCCTGTGGTGAGGGGAACAGCAGCTTCGGTGTGCTGAGCACCCTGCAGCCTGGCCCCACGGTCAGCTTGGCCCTGAGCTCAGTCAGTCTCGCCCCAGCTGCAGAGGCAGTAAGGTTCCTGTGCCTGTTCTTCAGATGAGGAGAGGGCTCCGGCTCAGCTGCGGCACCACCTCGGAAGTGGTGGTGCTGGGACTGACTGGGGGACCCAGAGCCACACTGATCTTCTGCCTCCATTTCACTGACCGGCTCACATCTGTTTGGGCGTCTATTTGTGAGATAGAGGGGACCTCATCACCAGGGACTCACATGAAAGATGTATGACCATTGAGGTGGCAGGGGGCCTACAGAGGAGACAAGAGTGTCCAAGGGTGCAAGGCACATGGAGTAGACAGTGTTTGGTGAACCTCTCAAGGTCCAAGTCCATCTGCCTGCCTTTGAGACAAAAGTAGTTGCACCCGACTGTCTCTTCTGTAAACAGAGGTGTCACAACAGCTCAGTCTCTGGGGTCCCATCTGTGCTGGCTAGTGCAGGAGACCCCAGTCTTCCTCTCCCAGGCCTAGTGCCCTGGGGGGTTTCCTGGGGCGAGCAGGAGGTATCCACTGACACCAGGAGGTGGGCAGGCAGCAAAGGATCCTGCAGAGGGTCCATGGTGCCAGGCTGGTCTGGATAAGTCTTCAGGAGGTCAGGCAGGCAGGGGGCCCAATAAGGAGGGTGGGTGGGCTGAAGCAGGCGTGCTTCCCCCTTGGCTGGGCCTCCATGGCTCCCAGAGAAGTTGCTAAAATTAAAGCTGGAATCTGAAATTCAAATGAAGAATGAACCTTTAATTAGACCCTGAATCTAATTCCTTACCCACCTCGGCAGCGGGCTATAATTTTAGTAATCAGTGCATTAAATATAAACCGAGAGACTGCAGCTGCCCACTGTACAAAGCCCCTGGATGTGGGGGTGGCACTGAGGGGCTCCTTGACCAGTCTGGTGCCTGGCCCCTACCACGACACCCTGAACTCCCTGCTCCCAGCACCCTCCAGCTGTATCCAGGACCCCCAACCACTGGCTCTAAATCACTGACTCGCTGCCCCCAGCCCCTTGGATACCTGCTGGGGGGCTAGGGATAGCCGAGGAGGGAGATTCACCACAGGCGGTGCTGGGCTAGGTTCAGTTAGGCCAAAAGCCCGGCTGGCCCTGGTATGAATATCAGCACGCACACATTTGCCGACTCCACTGCTTGTTGTGTTGTTTTGTTTTTTTAATCTTTGCCAGAAGTACAGCTAGAGATCTTTCTAGACCATTTACTTTTAAATTACCAGCCAGAAGGTGGGGTGGGGGTGGGGGAAAGAGAAGGAAGGAAAAATTTCACCAGCTGATAGCTTATCAGAACAGAATCCAAATGTCACATTAGTTGGGAAAGTTGGGAGATTAAAATTTCCAGTGCCCTTCATCTGCCGCTGACATTTCAGGGGCTTTCTTCTCCCATGCCTCCCCCTCCTCCTAGTAGAACATGAGTGGCTCACGCCTTAGAGGCGGCCGGCTCCCCGCTCTGGCCTCTGTGCTCGGCGGCTGCCTGCCCCGGCTTTACCCAGCATCCCGGAGCTTCTGAGGGTCCTCCTAGGGTGGCCGAGGTGGGCAGAGGGGTGGCACAGTGGGTGAGGGGCAATGGGCGGGCAGCAGATGGCTTGGGTCTTGCTGTACAAAATCCCCCTTTGAAGAGAGAAAAAGGAGGTTTGCTGCAGGCCCCCACAGAGACCAGCCCCCTGAACCTCCCATCCAGGGAATAATTCATTCCCCAGGCCTGAGGGTGAGCCCAGAGCATTCCCGGGGTGGGGAGAGCACATCTGGCTGGGGCCCAGGGGAGGAGGGGGGACAGGCATGAGCACCCTTTCCCCAAACAAGACACAGCCCAGGCAAACACTGGAGGCGGGAACACGAGAGGTGTGCCCAGGACCCAGTGAGCAGTGGGGTGGGCTGTCATGCGAGACCCACAGGGGAGAGGAAATGAGCCGAGCTTGGTGCTGAGGGTGGTCACAGGGGTCTTGAGGGGCAGTGAGGGAGCATGTGGATGGTTCAGCTGCTTATGCTCCTTCCTCTCAGGGCACAAAGCCCCCCAGCTCTGTCCCCAGGCCCACCTCCATCTCCATCTCTCCTTGCCTGCCCATTTGGCTTTTTCCTGTCTTCCCCTTCACTCTGTCCTACCATCTTCTCTTCCCCCTTGCACACCTGCACCTGTGCCTGCCCACCCCCCTCGGCTGCAGCATCAACACTGTAGTCACAGGCTCACTCCTGCCAGCCTGTGGTGGTGGGCGGGGGTGCATGGCGCATGCCCAGCCTGCCTGCCGAGAGATGCCATAATTGGCACCTGTCAGACGGCTGCAGCTCATTTTAGAAAGTCAACAGGGGCCTTTACATTCCTGCTGCTAGCAGTCCCTCCGGAGGTCACTGGGTCTCAGTGCTAGCTCCTACCCTAGGCCAGCTCTCCCCAGGACTCCCTGGCAGCTCAGCCCCTAGAGCCACCCTGCTGCAGGGGGTGGTGCCCCTCCCCCAGGTAGGGCTGGCGCCCTCTCCCTGGGGCCCAAGGAACCCCATGCAGGGGATGGGCAGGGCCCAGTGGGGGGTGTGGGTTGCAGAGCTCCTGGGAAGGACTGCGGAGGCCTCCCTGTGATTGCACAAGGCATGTCCTGGGAAGCAGAGGTCTGCAGCCTGCTCCTTCTCACTGGCTGCGCGATTTGCCCCCTTTGCTGATAATTGTTTTTCAAGGATGTGGGGAAAGGGTCAGTTTGGTTTTGAAATCTGGGTTTAGCAAATGTGGGGATAGTGGGTGGGGAGGGCAGGGGCAAGTAAGAGTCACAGGCCTCCTGGGTGAGGGGTCCATACCCTGTGTCCATCTGTCCCTGTGTCTCTCTATCTCTCTCTCTTTGTCTCTGACTGCAGTAGTCTCTGATTCTGAGATGCCCCTATCTCCTAGACTCTGGCCTTCCCCTGCCTGCAGGCCTGGCCCACTCCCCTCCACCATTTTCCAGACCTGACACTGCCGTGGGGGGGTCCCCTTTCTGCAGGATGACCCTGAGAGTGAGGATGTGGAGAGGGGGTCCAAGGCCAGCACTCTAAGTCTGGACTTCGTTGAGGACTCAAACTTCAAGAACAAGGTCAACTATTCGTACACGGCCGTGCAGATCCCCACGGACATCTACAAAGGCTGTGAGTGTGCAGAGCGATTGGGAACAGCCCCCCCACCCACCATGGGGGCCAGACCCACTGCTGGGGACTGCCAGATCCCAGGTGCCCGGCCAATGCTATCAGCCTCCTGCCCCCAAAGTCACATATGCCCCCTCTCAGACTTGCACATACGCAGGCCTCAAGCCTCTGTCAGGCACAGCCTCACGCTGACTCTCAGCAAGCTACAAAACACCAAGCCTTTCACCCCCGTGCATGCATGGTCTCCTGCCTGTGTACACATGTGCCCACACGATTGCGTGCACACAACGGTTTCCCCACATGCTGGGCCAAGTCCCCACCTGCTCTCAGAGCAGCTCCTCCCTGCTCTCCCCCTGGCCCCACGTAGGAATGGTTGAAGGGCTACCACATCAGATGGACACAGGGGCTCGGGGGACAGGGAGCAACTGCTCACTCACAGACACCAACCTTATAACACCTCCCTCCTCCTTGGCAGGGGGCGGGTGGGCAGGGGGAACATGGGGAAGGCAGATTGGGTAGAGGGCGGTTGAGATTCCAAGCTCCAGGGACAGGGCAGCTTTGCACAATGGGGAAACCAGGTCACTATAGCTAGAAGGATTTGAGTCAGACATGAGGAGGAACTTCCTGAAGATCTTGGGAGGTATAGGGGGAGGAGGCCAAGATTTAAACACTGGATGGGGAGCTCTAACAGCTGGATTTAGGCCCTGGGGTCTGCTGGTTCTAACATAATTCTGTTGGCACCTACAGGGTAGCCTCAGAATCCAAGGGGCCCACTGGGTGGAAGGTCTTGGGGCAAAGGTCCCAGAGCTTCAGGGTAATCTCCAGAATGCAGGGAATCCTCCAGGGTCCTTAGGGAGGCCCCCTCCACCCTTAGGGCCAGCCAGGCCTCTGGGAGCCTTGGGGGGAGTGAGAGTGGATGCTCTCCCTGTGACCTCCACAGGCTGCCCACAGGCCACCTGCCCCAGCCAGTCAAGGGGCACTATCACAGGCAAGCACGCTAATTAAAACAGGAGCCACACCACCCTCCCCAGTCACCCCTTGCTACCCACAGAAATTACATTTTATATGTTTTTTATTTACTGTGTAACTTTTAATTAAATCGGTAATCGCCTGCCTGAGGGGGCATGGTCCCCGTTTCCCAACACAGTATGATCTGAAAGTGTGTGCATGTGGGCGCGGGTGTGTGTGTGTGGGGCTGAGTAGCAGGCCATTTCCAGGCTGGGGGGGGTGGGGGAGCCTGCAGTGTTCGCACAGGTGTGTCTTGCAGTGAATGCATGTGTGTGCATGTGGTCATGGATGCCTGCAGGGACAGCCCAGCCAGGGCAGAGGTCTTTCCCTGGCTCTTGACCTGAGTCAGGAAGACCCCTCTGCTAGACGGGTTTCCAGGACGGTCTGCTCTAAGCCTCTAATGTGCAGATGGGGAAACTGAGGCCCAGTGAGGGGTGGGACTTGCCAGGCACACTATCCCAGGGCAGACAGTACTGTGTGAAACATTTGAGAGCTTGACTTTATTTTTTCCTTAAAAAGAAAAATAAAAATTGCTCACCTCACTAAGTTTCTAAATTAGGAACAGGACCATAACATACTGTTCAATAGGCACAACCAATGCTAGAAATGTATTTTGTTTTCACATTATGGTCAGTTAAGGGAAGCTGCAGGGACAGAGAGAAGGGAGTGAGAGCAGAGGGGGAGGGATTAGGCAGCAGATAAGATGCAGCAGAGGCCCTACACTCTGGAAAGAGAGAGAGGGGGAAGAGTGCCCAGGAATGTATCAGCACCGCCTAGGCTGTGGGCAGACCCTTGAGCATTTATATCTTTAAATCACAGTTCTTCATCTGCTTTAAATGTTTCCGTGTTCAGAGGCTCTGCTCTTCTCTTCAGAGCAGAGCCTTTGAAAGGCATTCTCTGGTTCTTACTTGGGATGGATCTTTGATAGGGATCGTGGCAGGTGGGGGCGGTGATGGTGTCAGGGCTCCACCTAGGAAGAAAGGAGGAAGAACTGGAGGAAGTTTCTGGAGGAAGAAAGAGGCCCTAGGGGAGAGGGTGAGGTACAGAGGCCTGGCAGTAGAAGGTGTCCAATTCTTGCTGTTTTCTTGAGTGTCCCACATGCAGGGACAGGTACACTGCACATGTGAGAACATGTGCCACGCACACTCATGGGGCAGATTTAGGGCTGTTCTGACTTAGGGTGTGGGGGTACTGCTGAAGCCATCATGAGTCTCTGCCCAGGTTAAGGGATCTGCAGAATTCAGTCCATTCATCTGAGAAGAGCCTTCTTCTGTGAGTGTGTATAGGGGTGGGTCTGGCCACAGAGGTTGGGGGACAGGGAAGGTGGAGGTAACTGGTCGTGGGGGATTGTAAGAGCAGGACCCATTGTTGTCCTATAGGTGCAGACTGGTGTGTAGGTATGAGCATGTGTGCCCCTGTGCTCATGGCAGCAGTCAGGCTACTGGGCAGATGGGTTTGGGGGTGAGGGGCTCACACACCTGGCTGGAAACACGGAGGTTAGAGGCAGGTATACCTGTTGGGGAGTGCAGGCTCTGTGTGTGTGTGTGTGTGTGTGTATGTGTGTGTGTGTGTGCACGCACATGCCTGTGTTGGAGCAGGATCATGGCACAGCCCCTGCCCCTCCAAGAGCCCCCATCCCCACCCCTGCCTCCTCCTGGCCCCAGCTGATTAATCATGGAGCTGAGTGGCTTCCAGCTTATCAGTTACCTTAATAGCTGAATAATTCCAGCCCCATCATCAGGCCCTTAATTGCTTTCTGTGGCTGCAGCCCGGAGTGCATGCTGAGTGGTGATCTCCCCAGGGACCAGCTGCAAGCTGCAACCAGAGCATGCTGGAGGGGTGTCCCAGCTCACAGCTCCCTGCCACTTGGGTGGCCTCTCTCCAGGGGCCACAGGCTAAGCTGCCCTGCCTGGCTGAAGGGTAGGCTGAGTTGTTTCTTTAATGACTTGGGAGAGGGTGAGGACCTGGAAATCTTCCTGGAGGAGCTGGTACAGCCTCAGCTGAGCCCTGGGGAGTGAGGGAGGGCCTGGATAGGCAGAGAGCAGGTGAGAGCTTTCTAAGTGGGGGGCACGTGCATGGGTGTTGTTGTGGTGAGGTTCAGCAGGGGGACAGCCCAGGCACCTCCCACCCCAGCCCCCTGCTTCCCCCATAGCCACCGTCATCCTCAATGAGCTCAACTGGACAGAGGCCCTGGAGAACGTGTTCATCGAGAACCGCAGGCAGGACCCCACGCTGCTGTGGCAGGTCTTTGGCAGTGCCACAGGAGTCACTCGCTACTATCCAGGTGGGTGCCAACCCATTTCCCCTGTCCACCTAAGCACCCCGCCTTCTTCTGTCTCCCAGCCCACTCACCCTGGGGTGTGTGGGGTGGGATGGTCACCCTGTACTCTGTAGGGTGGCCTGGCCACTCCTGCAAGGCCTGCCTAACCGGGCCAGGCCCAGGCCCTTCCCTGCCAGTCCCCCCTCACCTCCTTTCCTCCCACAGCCACCGCGTGGCGAGCCCCCAAGAAAATAGACCTGTATGATGTCCGAAGGAGACCCTGGTGAGTGAGCAAGGAGGGGCTGGGCAGGGACACCCTCTCAGCTCTCCTCCTCTCCCGCCTGCTCCCCTCCCTCCTGCTATTCCGGCCTCCAAGCAGGGTGCAGCCAGCTCTATCCAATTTTCATTTCACACATCGTTGCCACTGGAAAATGGATCCCATCACCCCGGTAGGCCTCCCAGCTGCCTCTGCCCCCCGTCCACTGCCTGGCTCTCCACTCCCTCGGGCCTGAGGGATTGGACCAGTGAGGGTTCCCAAGGGTGGATGTATCCTTGGGGGCCAGCCCCCACCCCACCCATCTGAGCCCTAGACACCCCTACCCTCTGCTCTGCCTCCCCTGCAGTACCTTGTGACCTCCTACTCCCTGCCACCTGTTCAATTCCATACACAGCGAGGGCTCTGCCTTTGGGGCCTCAAGCTCGAGTCAGAGGACATGACAAGCCGCTGAGGCCAGGGAACACGCCTCCTCTCTGGATCACCTGCTCACTCCTTCTTTGGGTTGTTCACTTGCTGGGGGACCAGGTCACTCATGTCATGGGCAAGGACTGTCTGTTTTGTTAAACATGGTATCCTCAGTGCCAAGAACCCTGCCTGGCCCATGCAGTAGATGCTCAATAGAAACACATTGAATCAATATGTGGGGGAAGGAAGGAAGGACTCACAAGGTCCCAGTGAGGCTAGCCCTAACTGAGGCTTCTCCTGGGCAGGTATATCCAGGGGGCCTCATCGCCCAAGGACATGGTCATCATCGTGGATGTGTGAGTGAGCAATGCTGGCAGGTGGGGTGGGGGTGGGGCAAGGGCTAGAATCTGCTGCCCAGGAACGTCATGGGGAAATGGCAGAACACCTGGGGCTTACCTTGTGCCTCCGTGACTCCCCAGCAGTGGAAGCGTGAGTGGCCTGACCCTGAAGCTGATGAAGACATCCGTCTGCGAGATGTTGGACACGCTGTCTGACGATGACTATGTGAATGTGGCCTCGGTGAGTGCCAAGGGGGCAGGAGGGCGAGGAATGGGCCACCTCCACCTGCCCTGTGGAACAGCTGCCTGCTCTAGCAGCGTGAGGCCACTCACCACCCTCACTGTCACTGCAGTTCAACGAGAAGGCGCAGCCTGTGTCATGCTTCACACATCTGGTGCAGGCCAATGTGCGTAACAAGAAGGTGTTCAAGGAAGCGGTGCAGGGCATGGTGGCCAAGGGCACCACAGGCTACAAGGCCGGCTTTGAGTATGCCTTCAACCAGCTGCAGAACGTGAGCCCTGTGGGTGGGCCAGCAGGGGGCTGGGGCGGGTGAGGGCCAGGGCTTTGTGACACCAGGGAAATCAAAACGGATGGCCTTGTTAGTGCCCAATAGGCAGCTCAGGCAGATAGCACCATCTGCTGTAGGGGAGGAGGGCTAGAGGGCCAGGCCCGCCAGGGGGAGGGAGACCCACCCCTGGACCCACCCCTGGACCCACCCCTGGACCCACCCCTGGACCGGGGAGAGGCCGAGAGCCACCTGACCCACTCCTACTCCTGCTCAGTCCAACATCACTCGTGCCAACTGCAATAAGATGATCATGATGTTCACGGATGGTGGCGAAGATCGCGTGCAGGACGTCTTTGAGAAGTACAATTGGCCCAACCGGACGGTGAGGCTCAGCCCAGGTGGGGCTGCCTGACGTGGGCCCCATACAGGGGAGGGCTGTCTTCTGGCAGGCGCCGCAGTAACTCAAGCCCCAAACAGGTGCGCGTGTTCACTTTCTCCGTGGGGCAGCATAACTACGATGTCACACCCCTGCAGTGGATGGCCTGTGCCAACAAAGGTACCTCATCTGGGCGTCACTGCCACGGGGCCTGCCTGCCATGTCCTGCTGTCCATCGGGTTGGTTGTCCACCTGTCCTTCCATACGTCCAGCTTTCCAGCTGCTTATTTATCCACTGTCCATCTTTCCATATATGTGAGTGTCCATCTGTCTATCTGGCTGCCTAACTTGTCCATCTGACTGAGCATCTTTCTGCCCATCTGTCTGTCCATTGTCCATCTGTCTCCCAGCTTGTCTGTTCCTGCATCTGTTTGCTGGTCAATTCATCTCTCCGTGCGTTTGGGCCTGGCCCCTGGGTGGACTGAATGTCACTGCCAACCTAGAATAAGGGACTTCAGGCCTCAGGCTCCTCTCTTCCCCCCAGCTCTGCTTCTTTATACCCCTACATTCACAGCCTCTTCCATAGCATCGGTCCCATTGACAGGCAATGGCAGAGAGCACTAACGGGACATGAGTTTGGGGGCAGTGACACCAAAAAGAAAGGGCCTGAGGGACAAGTCAGGGCTGCAGGCACACCCTAGAGTACAAGGCCCCCTGTGCCATGAATCCTGAGCACCACCCAAGCCTACCGCTGCCTCCCCTACCCTCACAGGTTACTATTTTGAGATCCCTTCCATCGGCGCCATCCGCATCAACACACAGGTGAGACTGTGGGGGGCCCCCTCCTCCTCCCAGCCCTTTGCTTCCACAAGATGGTGCAAAGGATGGGCTGCTGTGGGGTGAGTGCGCCCCCTTATGGCTTGCTGATGCATGGGGAGGCAGAACAGGAAAGGTGCAGCATGAGGGGCAGGCCAACTCATGACCCTCGCCGCCGCCCCCTTCCCAGGAATATCTAGATGTATTGGGCAGGCCCATGGTGCTGGCGGGCAAGGAGGCCAAGCAGGTGCAATGGACCAACGTGTATGAGGATGCGCTGGTAAGGCCTCTGGGCCAGGAAGGGGTGGGGCTGGTGACCTTGCCCCAAGGGTGTGCCCACAGGGTCAAGTCCATTGAGGGCACCCTTATGGGGGTAAACGAAACAGAGGAGAAAGGGAAGTGGCCTGTACCTGAGCCCCTGCTCTGAACACTCGAGGTTGGGGCATGGCTGGCCACAGGAGACTGACCCATCCTCCTCCTCTCCCTTCAGGGACTGGGGTTGGTGGTAACAGGGACCCTTCCTGTCTTCAACCTGACACAGGATGGCCCTGGGGAAAAGAAGGTGAGGTCCCCCACTGGGGAAGGACTAGGCATACCTGGGGAGGATTGGCCATGACCATAGCAGGTCTGGGATGGGGGAGGGATAGTCTGGCCTGCAAACTGGACAGGGGCAAATGCTTGTGAGAGCACCTCGAGGCTTTGGGCGTGGAGGGTTAGATAGTGGGACCCCATGGAACTGAGCCCACTGCAGACCCCCATATCTCTGCTCCCAGAACCAGTTGATCCTGGGCGTGATGGGCATCGATGTGGCTCTGAATGACATTAAGAGGCTGACTCCTAACTACACGGTGAGTATCCACCTGCCCATCCGCCCTGCTCTGCCTCCCACATGGACACAAACCGGGCTCAGCAGAGGAAACTGATGGGGATTACATGGAGACCACTGAGTTCAGGCAGTCAGGGAAGGCTTCCAGAGGAGGCAACCTTAGGCCCAGAGCTAGGGTCAGCAAATTTTCTGTAAAGGGCCAGACTATGAATATTTTAGGCTCTGCCAGCATAAATACTTATATTCATACTTAATTCTGCTGTTTTAGTGTGAAAACAGCCATAGACAAAACAAATAAATGGGCACGGCTGTGTTCCAATACAATTTTGTTTGTGGATACTGAAATTTGAATTTCATATAATTTTCACCTCATGACATATAATTGTTCTCTTGATCTTTTTCAACCATTTAAAAACGTAAAAACCATTCTTACCTCACAGCCGTACAGTAACAGGCAGCAGGCCAGACATGGCCCATGGGCCGTAGTTTGCCAACCTCTGGACTGACCGTAGGCAGGAGTGGCCTGGGTAGAAAGGAGGGGAAGGCGTAACTTAGAGGCAGAGGGAACTCTCTGGGAAAAGGCCTGAAGGTGAAAAACAGAATCATAAGCCAGGGAAGGGGCAAGATCAGTGTGGCTGGCCCAGGGCCCACAGCAAAGGGAGTTTGGGTCTTGGTTCTGAAAGGGGCAGGGGGTGAGGCATGTGTGACAGTATGCTTAGACCTGAGCCACATGAAGGCCCCATGTCGCTGGCCTCCATGTGCAGTGAGAAAACCACCTCAGAGAGGGAAGGGTGAGTCCAGGGTCCCACTTAGTCTCCCTTCCCTTCCACTTGGAAGGGATGCTCTGGGGATTCCAAGGGTACACTCCTCCTCTTGTGCTCTACTGAGATGGGGACCAAGAGGAGGCAGTAGTGGGGAGGGGAGGGAAGGGCAACAGCAACCTTGTGGGGCCAGTGGAGTGGAGCAGTCTGGCTGACTGACATGAGAACCAGGAGTAGGGGCAAGAATTGCAGAAGATCAAATCAAATCGTGGTCCCATGGAGCTGGTCAGCCTCGGCAAAGGCTTGTGCATGTGGAGCACTGGCCTGCTGGGCTTGGCTTGAGAGGCAGGCTTGGAGCTGCATGGCATGTGGGGGCTCCTGGCCCAGACAGGCAAACAGCACCCCTCAGCAGCATGGGAGGCAGGATGAGAAAGAGCTCCAGAGCCTGGGGAATCCCTGCCCAGACCTCCAGGCCCTGAGCCCCCAATCTACACCCCCAGCTTGGAGCCAACGGTTACGTGTTTGCCATTGACCTGAATGGCTATGTGTTGCTGCACCCCAACCTGAAGCCCCAGGTGAGCTAGGTGGGCGGCCTGGAGGGGGGTAAACTCTGCGAGATGGGGACTTCTAACTTCCTGCCCTGCCTCCTGCAGACCACCAACTTCCGGGAGCCTGTGACTTTGGACTTCCTGGATGCAGAGCTGGAGGATGAGAACAAGGAGGAGGTAAGGAGAAGAAGGCGAGTAGGGATGGGGGACACCCAGAACAGAGGAGGGTAGGGGCCCTGCCTCTCACATCTCTGTCCATTCCAGATCCGTCGGAGTATGATCGATGGCAACAAAGGCCACAAGCAGATCAGAACACTGGTCAAGTCCCTGGACGAGGTGAGAAAGTGGTGGAGGAAGGACAGAGAGTCTAGTGGGCACCTACCGGCTAGCCCAAGTACCTGACCCAGCCTCTTCTTCCAGAGGTACATAGACGAGGTGATGCGGAACTACACCTGGGTGCCTATAACGAGCACCAACTACAGGTGAGTGGGGCCAGGGTTGGGCGGGCAGGGAGGGCAGAGGTGGCCCCAGAGCCCAGAATCTGAGCCCAGGTGCCCCCTCCCTCTCCCATCCCAGTCTGTCAAATCCCAGTGGGGCATCAGCAGCCAACGCTGCTCACTACTCACCCCAGGACTCTCAGGCCCCCAAGGGCCTCTCACTGGCCCTTCAGGAACAAGCTCCATCTCCTGGGAGTGCAGAACAGAGACAAAACAGTGCATCTGACGTCTCCCCAAGGCCTGCCACCCCCTCACGTCCCTCCCGCCTAGATTGTATCCCTGGGTATTTGCACCCAGGATGTCATCCTCAACACCATCATAGGCCTGCTCACAACAGGCACCACAGCCACAGAGCAGGTCACCTTGTGGGTCAGGCCCAGGCCATGTAGGCTGTCTTCTGCATGCCCCAGAGCTGGTCTCATTCACACTAGCATGGAGAGGGGACTGCCCCTCTCCATGCTAGTGCCAGCCCTGCTTTCAGCTGGCTCTCACAAGGCCGGAATCTCTGGAGACTGTAGACCCCACTCCCACAGCAGCACGCCCCCACAGTGTTCTGTGTTCTGCCCCTTGTAAGTTTGCTGCTGGCCAGATGGAGGAGGCTGGCTGGGCAGGTGGTATGTTGGGGGATGCTGCTGGGGGTGAGGGGTGGGGTGGGATTTGCTTCGGGGCTGGGAGATCTGAGGGCTTCAGGAGAGTTTGGGGAGTGGAAGGTCCAGGCCCCTAGACCATGAATCTCCCACAGCTAACCAGGCAAAGGTGTCCCTGGTGGTCAGGGGAGGGGATGTCACAGCCTAGGCCTCTCCACCCGGCTCCAAGGCCATGGGGTCGGGGTGTCAATGTGGCCCACCTCTCCCCAGCACTGACCTGCGTTCTTCCCCTCCCCTCCTTCCCAGCCTAGGGCTAGTGCTCCCGCCCTACAGCACCTTCTACCTCCAAGCCAACCTCAGCGACCAGATCCTGCAGGTCAAGTGTAAGTGGCCCGGCCCCTGCCTGCGCCCTGCACCCCTGCCTCTGCCCCCCACCCTGGCCGGCCCCATGCAGCATAGCCAGCCATTTGCGGCAAGGCGGCCCCTCCTGCCCAGTCTGTCCACCCCCCAGGCACCCGCAGGCTGGGGCACCGGCCATAGGAAAGTCTGTGGAAATCTGCATGCTCGCCTTTTCTCAGATTTGGTTCCAAACCATTCTCTCATGATTTCCGTTGAGGTTGTTTTTGGTTTCTCCTACTTCGTGTCTTCCATCCTTAGCCTGCCTCCCCCGCACACCCCTGGGGGCTGCATTCTTGGAAGACACCCCCTCCCCTCATCTCTCCTTGCCCCTGCTCCCTGCGCAGCTCTCTTCCCCATGGGACCACCCCACAAGGTCCCCTCCCCTTCTGTCCACCCTCACTCTTCCTCCCTCATTTCCTCCTCACCTCCTCCCTCATCTTGGGCCTCTGTCACCTCCCTCCCACCCTGACTCCTCCCTTACTCTCTTTGCCCTTCTTTCCACCCCCTTTCCTTTCTCCCCCTCTTCCCCCCTCTGCCACTCTTTCCCTCTCTCCCTCCTTCTCTTTTTCCTCCATGCACAGCACCCTCTCTGTCTCCCTCCCTCTCTTCTCTCTCCCTTCTGCTGACTCCCTCCATTTCCCTCTCCCACCCCCTCTCTCCCTCTCTCCCTCTCTTGCCTTCCCTCTCTCCCTCTCTTGCCTTCCCTCTCTCCTTCCCTCCCTCTCCCCCTCCTCTGCTTGTGGCTCAACCCTGCATGTCCCCCTCACCAGGGCCTCCCGCAGGGCCTGCCCCCACTGAGGTCACTGGGAGGGAGGCCGGGCTCTGGCCCCACCGGGCACCCCCTACCTGCCTGGCTGGCTGGGGCTCATCTCCTTTGAGTTTTCTCGCTCTCTCTTTCTCTCTCATGTCGTTTTTTTGCAAGAAGTTTCCTTTCGGTATGATGATGAGACACAATATTTTCATTCAAACAGCCATTGAATAAAATATTGTTTGTGCCCCTCCCCTTCCCCTCCCCCTTTTCGTTTGTTTTTGTGTTTGTGTTGTTTCTGTTTTCCTCGCTTTCTCTCTTGGTGGACTGTCCCAGTGCCAATCAGCAAACTGAAGGGCAAGTATATTCAGAACCAGTGCACCCTCCTCTCCTCACCCCACCCGCCCTCACGCCCCTGCTTGCCCCCCTCCCTGCCCAGGACCAGCCAAACCCCTGCTCTCCAGGGCCCGCCCAGCATCCCCTTGGCTCCTCTAGTTCTTGCCTTTCCTCTGACCCTAAACCCCATTAAAGCCAGCAGCCCTTTCCCTGGCCCTGCCTGCAGGGTGGTCTCTGGCGTGTTCTGAGAGCTCAGGCCACATCCTCATCCTCCTTGCTCCCTCTGGGCAGGCCCCTGCCCCCTCTCCCTGCCACCTTCTCTATCTCTCCAAGACAACTCAACAGTGGGGACAGGAGTAGACGCCTCTCTACCACCTCCCACCCAGCAGGGCAGGGGGCCTGAGATGCAGCAGTAGATCAGTCCTCAGAAGGGCTTACATGAGGCTTATTGGAAAGGGCCAGCCACACGAGGCTTCCTCTGGGATCATTCTCCCTCCTCTGATCTCTGGCAGTGGCTCCAGAAGCTGGCAGCCCTCCCAAGGAGAGACAGAAGGCTTTGGAAGCCTCAAACCCTGATCCTGGTGCAGGGGCAGGATAGGGCCACAGCCAGGCCACTGGGAGAGCAAGGCAGACCAGACCATGCTGGGCACTGGCCTAGGTGCTAAAGCCCCTGTCCCCTGCTGCCCCCGTACTCCCAGAAACTGCTAAGGCCCACTGGCCCAGCCCTATCCTGGGGTGCTTGCTGCTCTTGGGGAGGGTGGTCAGGTATGGAGAAGGTGTTCCCCTGGGAAATAAAAGCAGACTCAGGGACCAGGGGCCTGGCGAAGAACAAAAGGGGACCTGTCAACCCCAAGGGCCAGCAAAAGAGCTTGGAGGGAGTCAGGCTGGGTGTGAAGAAAAAGGCTCTGGCACTCAGAGGTACCCAAGCCAGAGACTTCTGGGAAAGGTAGGTAGTGAACTCACAGACCCTGGCAGAGAACAAGGGGAGTGAGAGAGTACAGCACACAAGGGTCTCTGCCACTGGTGCACAGAGATGCCCCTCCCAGGGAACGCCTGGGCAGATGGGGCATGGAGAGCCATAAGAGGATGTCTTGTCCCCAGTCCCCATGGCTGGGAGGCATGGGCTCCCCAGGAAGCCCTAGGGGCCCTGCCCAGCCTAGTCTAATAAAGGGGATACAGCTGCCCCCACTAGCCTGGGTGGGGGTGGGGACTGGCCCTACTCCCACTGGCTTGAGTTGCCTTCTCTTCTCCTCCCACAGGCCTCCCAGTGACCCCAGAAATGCAGGGCCATGGTAACATTGACGACCACAGCATAGTCTCCCTTCCTTCTCCCCACCTCCTTTTTCTTTCTCCTCCTCCTCCTCTTCCCCTCCTTCCCTGTCGGCTTGTGTCCAAACCCTGCCTCACAGTCCTATCAGAAAGCAACAGTCCAACCAGTGACTGCCCAGCCCCTCCAGGCACCCCATGTCCCGCCCCCAGAATCTTGCAGTGCATTGTGGGAGTATTTTGGAACAAGGAGGACTCCTCTTCTACAAAAATAAAAGCCCTGGGGTGACAGAGAGGTTGGAATCTGGGTAAAGGATGGGAAGGTGGACTGCCCAGAGTGCAACAGGCTGAGAGCAGAGGGATGCCTCCCGGACACAGACCAGCAAGGTGGCCGGTCCAGCTGGGTAGGAAGAGGCCACAGAAGACCCTCCATGGCCACATCCCAATGATGTGGCCACATCACTCACAAACCCACACAGAGACACTTGCACACATGCACACATGCTCACACATACACACTCATGCAAACATACTCACATACACATGCTTTCACATGCACATACACACTCATGCATACATGCTCACTCTCACACATGCACAGGCCTAGTTGGTGGATCCCTCAACAGCACCCCACACCTTTTGTGGAGCCCAAGCATTCCTCCCTGGCTGCTCTGAGCCCAGACAGATCCTAGGAAGGGTGAAGACCCAGCCCTTCTTCCCCACCTGCTCTCACGCCCCCAACCCAAAAGGGCAAGTGTGCAGGTTCAAGCAGTGCTCCTGTCCCCTCCCAGCTCCCAGACTCTCCTCCCACAGTGTGGGAACATTCCTAGGCACCTCGAGGATCTCCCCTCAGCCAGCCTCCTACCCTAGGGAGGACTGCTGTACTCCCACAATGCACTGCAGCCCACCCCCAGCTGCCCACACTGTCTCTGGTTGGACTGTCCATGCCCATGAGAAACCCCCTCGGTTTGGCCATGTTGATGCCTGACACAGAACAAAAGCAAAACCTACCAAAATGCAAACAGCTGCAGCAAAGAACGAGATAAAAATCCGCAGCCAAAAGCCAATTCCCTTCCTCAAAGTCTCTTTGGAGGCGAAGGAAGCTCAGCATGTGGTTTTTTCATTACGGATGTGATAAGAGTGAGACTGGCGCCTCCCCTAGACCATGCATATATATAGCAGTGTGTGTATATATATGTGTGTGTGTGTGTCCGTGTATATGTGCTATACAGCCGTATGGAAGCATATACAGCCACGCCAAGGGACTCACTGCAGACAGAGGACCAGGCCCGGGCAACATATTGGCTATAACTGCCCTCCTCCTGCGATGCTGTAGTCTCCACAGGCCCTCCACCCCTCCCCGCCCATCCCTTCTCTCTGGCTCGAACTTGAACATGGAAGTGGCGGGTTCCCTCTTTGCTGGTGTCTCCCCCTCCCTCAAGCCACCCTCTTCCCTGTCCCTCCAGCCCCATCAGCTCTGAGCCCCCTGGCCTCCCACCTCCTCTGCCCCCGCCAGATAACCCCCCGTTTCTGTTGCAGATTTTGAGTTCCTGCTCCCCAGCAGCTTTGAGTCTGAAGGACATGTTTTCATTGCTCCCAGGTAGCTTGCGTGTGGCCTTGCTGAGGTGTCCCCCCAACCCCGACCGCCTTGGCCCCGCCTCCTGCCCTCCTGCCTGGAGCTTTGTGTTTCTGTGTCCCGTGCAGTGTCGCCCCACCCTCCCCCATGCATAGCCTTGTGTGTGCAGCTGTGTGCATACCCAGGCCATGTAGCCACACCAGGCAGCAGTGGCCAGCTGCCCACAGCTCTGGCTCCCACCAGGCCTGAGGCGGGAGGGCTCTGGACTCTGCTGACCTTCCGTGCCCTCCCAGGCAACGAGGAAGGAGCCCTTTTTGCCGTGGGCTGGCTGTCTGCAGTATGCCCCTCACTGGGCAGCTGCTGCTCTGGTTTGTGGTGCCCTCCCCACCGCTCACTGCATCCTTGTCCTGTGTCAGTCAGTGTTTCTGTGGGTCTGGGAACCGAGCTAGCCAGAGCCCCTGTTGGCAGTGCCAACTCTAGGTGTGGTGGCTCACTGAGGATGGGGCGGGGGGAAAGAGGGGATGGGGGCTCTGAGGAGCTGCTCTGACAAGCGAGGGGTCAGGGCCCAGCGCAGGCCTGGGCCTGGACCATCCCTTGAGTGCGTGCTCAGCATGCACACACACATCCTCGTGTGCACACCCTCCGCCTGTTGTACCACCTCTGAGGAGGCCAGCAGGCCCCCGGGTGATAAAGCCCTCCTGTAACCTGGGCTTTGGATGAGGGCAGGTGGGTGCAGCTGACAGAGACCCATGGGCAGTCTCAGGCACCACACAGGGGCTCTGGACACACCTAACCTCTGTGTGTGCACGTGCGTGCATGCACCCACAAATTTCTCTGTGACTCGCTGTAGACGTGTTTGTATTTGTGAGTCATTGTGTACATTTGTACGAGTCTGAGTGTAAATGTGGGGTGGGCTGTGTGCACTCGTGACTGTGGAAATGTGTGAAAAGGCCTATGTGGCCCACATGACCCTGACAGAGCTTTCTAAGAGCAGGGACTGTATTCGTTTTTGTCACCTTTGTATCTTTGGCTTGAGAGAGCTCGATAAATATGTGTTGGCTGAGTGAATAAAGTAACCCAAAAATGTAAATGTACATATTGTGGGGAGTAGGGGCTGCAGGTGACTTGTATCTCAAGCACAGCTGTGTGGGTGTCTCTCTGGGTGTATCAGGTGTGACCTCCACCCACAGAAGTGCGTGCTGTGCACTGTACAAAGGCCTCGGGGGCCAGGGAGCAAGTAAGGGCTGAGACCCAGTCCCCTGAGACCCCTCACCAAGCTGTGGGCCCTCGCACAACCTGGGCAAGCAGCGCATTTAAAAAATTCCCACAAAGTTGCTGCCATACGGGCCAGCTGTGAGGTCTCTGGTGGCAGGGGTGTGAATGAGGGATTGGGCAGGAGACAGAGCTCCATCTACCAGGGTAGAAGGACTGCTCACCAAGAATTCCTGGAGAGCAGAGCTCCATGTAGGCCTCCCCACGCCCCACAGCCCCCATGTTCTCTGGACCCAGAGCCTGAGCCCAGCGAGGGCTTTGAGAAGGTGAGGGATTTGGCCTGTCCACCTCTGGGGGCAGAGCATTCTAGGCAGAGGGAACAGCCAGTCTGAGGACCCATGTGTTCTCACTGACTTCCTGACACCCTCTGTGGTATGATGAAAAAACTGAGGCTAAGGGAGCTTGAGTGAGTTGTCCAAAGGTGCACAGCCAGGAAGCAGCAGGATGAGGTCTTAGACTTAGGCTGACTAAGCCTGTGCTGCTGCTCCGCCCACCTGGTGCCCATGGGACCGCTACAGCATGCAGGTGGATGAGCCGGCCGTGAGGCAATTCCTGGAGCCTCCCAGGTGCACCATCTGGGTCCAGCTACACAGGAGAGGTGGGAGGCTCTGCAGGGCCATGCCCTGGAGGGAGAACCAGGGTGGAGGAAGCAGACTCTCATTCCCATGTCAGCTCTGCCCCTCCTCAGACCTCAGAGCCTGCCAGGCACCTAGTGGCTGCAGCCTGTAAGAATACACGTCTCTCCCCGAGGCCTGGGCTTCTCAGCAAATGGCCAAGCAGGCCTGTTGGGAAGCCTCAACCCCACTGCCCTGTCCAGCCCCCCAAGCCCACTCTTCTTGCCCCTCCCCACCCCTAGAGAGTATTGCAAGGATCTGAATGCCTCAGACAACACCACCGAGTTCCTGAAAAACTTCATTGAGCTCATGGAGAAAGTGACTCCAGACTCCAAGCAGTGTGAGTGCCTGGTGGGGCAGCCGGGTCTGGGCAGTGCCCAGGCAGCATGCGGGCAGCCCAGAGGAACCCAGAGACCAGGCAGGTGTGGAAATATGCAGGGCCAAGCCAAGGGCAAGGCCTGGGCCAGATCATGGGGAAGGCTGCTGTTGGAGCCTTGGGGGTAGGGGGAAGAGTGGGCTGGGAGCTGCATGAAGATGCCCCCTCCACCCCTACCCTCCCATTCCAGGCAACAACTTCCTTCTGCACAACCTGATCTTGGACACAGGAATCACGCAGCAGCTGGTAGAACGTGTGTGGCGGGACCAGGATCTCAACACGTAGGCATGCCCCAGCCTGTGGGGGCAGGAGGCTGGGATGGGCCCAGAGGCCCTGGCCCTGCCCTGCAGAAGGCAGGCCTGTGACCGCACCTTCCTGCTGCCCCCAGGTACAGCCTTCTGGCCGTGTTTGCTGCCACTGACGGCGGCATCACTCGTGTATTCCCCAACAAGTAAGTGACCTACCCCACTACCTGACACCCTGTCCCTGCCTAGGACCCTCTTTCTTTCCTGCTGCCCAGAGGCCTCTTTGCACCTGCTGAGACCACTGTCCCCCACAAGCCATCCCTTCCACCAACCTCTGCCTGTCTTGGGTGACCAGGGCAGCTGAGGACTGGACAGAGAACCCTGAGCCCTTCAATGCCAGCTTCTACCGCCGCAGCCTGGATAACCACGGCTATGTCTTCAAGCCCCCACACCAGGATGGTAAGCTTCTCTGTCTACTCAGCCAGGGCTAGGCTCTGCTCTCTAAGGCCCCTCAAACACGAGGCTGGCTGAGACTGAGGCAGATGAGAAGAGAAAGCTAGGCTGTGCCAAACACTGTGCTGGGTGCTGGGTGCTTAGGCTAGGGTCAGCCTTGGCTTGGGCTCCTGGGTCTGCAGGGCCCAGCATAGAGTGGTCAGTGTGGCCACCAGCCCCAACTCCTAACTGCTCCACCCCACCCCACCCCCAGCCCTGTTAAGGCCACTGGAGCTGGAGAATGACACAGTGGGCATCCTCGTCAGCACAGCTGTGGAGCTCAGCCTGGGTGGACGCACACTGAGGCCAGCAGGTGAATGCTCAGGGCAGAGGCGGGGAAAGAGACAATGGGCAGAGTGCTGCCCAGACAGGCATTGATGGCCCCTTGCTATCCCTCATAGTGGTGGGCGTTAAGCTGGACCTAGAGGCCTGGGCTGAGAAGTTCAAGGTGCTAGCCAGCAACCGTACCCATCAGGACCAGCCTCAGAAGGTACTTGGGCAGGGGTGGGGACAGTAAGCTCAGCAGTACCCATTCTGGAGTCCCCAGGAACCCCTACTAATCCTCCCATTCAGAGTGGCTCTGGTGCCTATGGGGAGGCGGGGGCTGTTGCAGGTGGCCTGGGGACCCAGATATATGAAGGGTGATAAGAGGGAGAAAACTGGTAGGCACCTTACACTCCTTGCTCTCTGCCCAGCAGTGTGGCCCCAGCAGCCACTGTGAGATGGACTGTGAGGTTAACAATGAGGTATGTGTGCCCTGAACCCTAGCTCACCCCACTCCCAGATGTCTTAGTCTCGACTGCAACTCCTAGCCCATCCCTTGGCCTGTGGATCTCAACATCCCACCCTGACTTCACAGCTTTACCAGAACTGGGGGGAATGGTGCCCCCTCCACTCAACCACTGGACTGCCAGGGTCTGGGCCCAAACCCCTCCCCATCTTCTTCCCCCTTCCCCACCTCTCAGGACCTGCTCTGTGTCCTCATTGATGATGGGGGATTCCTGGTGCTATCAAACCAGAACCATCAGTGGGACCAGGTGAGAGTCAGGAAGAGGGTGGAAGGAGGGGGTCTGGGTTTGAGCCTTCTGGGGGCATGGCACTGCCAGCCCTGTAACTACCACTCCCTCCCGGCATCCCCAGGTGGGCAGGTTCTTCAGTGAGGTGGATGCCAATCTGATGATGGCACTCTACAATAATTCCTTCTACACCCGCAAGGAGTCCTATGACTATCAAGCAGCCTGTGCCCCCCAACCCCAGGGCAATCTGGGTGCCGCACCCCGGGGCATCTTTGTGGTGAGCCCCAGCCATGCCTGGCCTGCAGATGGGGGGGAGTGCTGGGAGACCTCTCCACAAATGACCCTCCACCTCTGATGAGAGAGCTGAGGGTGACCCAGGTCCAGGGGCAGCAGTGGCAGCCCACACCCCTCTCTCCACTGCAGCCCACCATTGCAGACTTCCTTAACCTGGCCTGGTGGACCTCGGCTGCTGCCTGGTGAGTCCTAGAGGGGAGGGCAGAAGGGAGGGTGCTCCCTGGCCAGGAGGGCTCAAGAGAAGTGGAGAAGGTACTGGCCTCTGCTGACCACTCCCTTTGGTGACCCATACCCTGCAGGTCCGTGTTCCAGCAGCTTCTCTATGGCCTCATCTACCACAGCTGGTTCCAGGCAGGTAGGTACCTCCTCAACCCCCGCTCCGCAATCTAAGCAAAGACCGACCTCAAGGGGAGGGCAGGGCTTACAGCTGGGCGAGGCTGAGGCCCAGGACCATGCCAGGGTATATGGGTGGGGCTGAGGCGCTCTGGGCCCTCGCAGACCCCACGGAGGCCGAGGGCAACCCCGAGGCGCGCGAGAGCAGCTGCGTCATGAAACAGACTCAGTACTACTTCGGTTCGGTGAACACCTCCTACAATGCCATCATCGACTGCGGAAACTGCTCCAGGTGCCTGCGGGGAGCGACCGGAGGGGTAGGGTGGGGCTGAGGGCGGGGCCCACGGGGCGGGGCTTGCCGAGAGGATGCGGCCGGAGGCGGGGCCGAGGCTGCAGGGGGCGGGGCAGGGACGGAGGGGAGGGGCGAATCTCAACCCCCGTCCTCTGTGCCGCGTCCAGGCTATTCCACGCGCAGAGACTGACCAACACCAACCTTCTCTTCGTGGTGGCCGAGAAGCCGCTGTGCAGCCAGTGTGAGGCAGGCCGGCTGCTGCAGAAAGAGACACACTGTATCCTGCCCCCGCCGCTCCCCGCCGCCCGCGCCCCCTCCCGCCCCGTGCGCGCCTTCAGTGCCGACGCCGCCTCCTTGACTACCCACCCATGCCCAGCGGACGGCCCGGAGCAGTGTGAACTGGTGCAGAGACCGCGATACCGGAGAGGCCCGCACATCTGCTTCGACTACAACGCGACGGTGAGGAGGGGGACGACGGATTTGACATCCCGCTCCCCTCCCCAGGGTTAGCGCGGCCCTGCGCCCATCCCTGTCCCAGGCCGACCGGCTCCTCTCTTCTTGCAGGAAGATACCTCAGACTGCGGCCGCGGAGCCTCCTTCCCGCCGTCGCTGGGCGTCCTGGTCTCCTTACAGCTACTGCTCCTCCTGGGCCTGCCTCCCCGGCCGCAGCCTCAAGTCCACGCCCACGCCTCGCGTGGCCTCTGAGCGCCCCCAAGGCCTCCCCTCCTCTCCCCGGCTCTCCCGCCCCACACTCCCTGCCTTAGAGCCTCGCCCCCTCCCTCACTGAAAGACCTGAGCGCACCAGGCCCCGAGAGTCTGCACCTTAGAATGGAGGGTCCCAAAGGAGGGCGCCGCAGGTCTTTGGACCCCAAGCCACGTCTCGCTGCTGAACTGTCAAAGTGTTCTCAGACCCCTCATTCTCACTGGACTTACCCATCCCCGAGGGCTGGGACAGGGAGGCCACAGTACTGGTGCCAAACCAGGTCTCCACTACCCGCCCTACCCGGAGGCTCCCTTTGTGTGGGAGACTTAGGCCCTGCCCCAGCTGGACTCCTCGGACCTGGACCTTCTGCCCCACCCAGGACCAAATCTAGATTCCCTGGGAGTAATGGAGGAAGTTGAGATGGGTAGTTTGAGGCCTGTGCATCCCAGCTTCAATCCTGGCAGGAGAGAGGTCCTGGGGCAGCCCCCCAATGGGCTCCTGTCCCTCTCAGGCCTACAGCCACCTCCCCCACCCCAAGCCCTGCAGGTGTCAGGGCAGTGACAGTGACACTGGCTCAGACACAACCCTATACACATCTGGAGCCCTGAGGTTAGAAACTGGACTCACATTAGACGTACCCTGGAGGACACACACACATACACAAACACACACACACACACTGTGGGGTGGGGTGGGGTGGGGTGGGGGTGGGGGCTCACAAAGCCTTACACAGGGCGAGGGACTGGTGGGAGGGTTGGCATGTGCACACTCCATCTCCTGCTCACCGCCTGCCTCTGATCTGACCTGCAGCCCAGCCTGTCCTCTGTCTCTAAAGCTGAATGTCAAACAGTGCCAAATGCTGGGGCAGAGGGTGAAGACCCCTGTATCTCACCCTAGCCACCAGTGTCCCCTAAATGCCCCTCACCCCGCCAGGTGCTCATTGTAACCATTTCTCACTAGTGTCAGGCCCCCAGTGGGACCACATGCCACTGCCTACACCCCTCGGCAGAGGAACCCTCACCACACATTGCTCTTTGCCTTAGCAGGGGTGACTTGATCACTCCTGGCTGGGCCATCCCACCCTCAATCTGGCCCTTACACACTCAGGCCTGTGCCCGCTCCCCGTCTGTTTCCCACTCACACACACACTCCTTGTCCCCAGGAGGCAAAACTGTTGCTCCCTGCTGAACATACACTTGCACACACATACACACATATTACACACTCTGTGCACACACAGAGGCTGGGCCTGGGCACATCTCTTCACACCATTCATTCTGGTCATTTCCCTCAAAGGCATCCCAGCCTGGGGGCAAGTGGGGAACTGAGGGCAGGGAGATGTGGCCATGGGGCTCAGATGGACTGGGAGGAGGGGGGAGGGTGATGCATTAATTAATGACTCTGTTAATTAATGTCATGTTGCTTGTCGCTTTCTCAGTGTGTGTGTATGGTCCATGCTCGCTGCTGGTGCCAGGGTAGGCGCCCATGCTGTACACCCAGCCTAGATGCCAGCCATGTTTTGCGGGGGCGTGTGTGTAATTGTAGTGTAGTCAGGTGCTCAATGGAGAATATAAAAATAAAAGAATCAAGCATACACAGAAAAATATATATTTTAAGTTTAAAAAACAGAAAAACAGACAAAACAATCCCCATCAAGTAGTTGTCCAACCCCCAGCCGGGTCTTATCCTTCTCATCACCCACCCAACCTGGCTGCCCCCTCACCTCCAGCTTGGGGGATCTATGGGGGACTGGGGGGCCATTTCCTCTTCTCTGCTCTATTTTTTGGTGGTGGTTCTATTTTGTACAGACAAGTCAGAAAAACAACAGTGACAAAAAAGTCAAGAAACTTTGTAAAATATCATGTGTGACTCCTTGTAAAATATTTTCAAATGGTTTATTACAGAAGATCAGTTATTAAATAACGTTCATATTTTCACTTCAAATGGTTCCCATCCACTCTGTCTGCCCCGGGGTGAGGACTGGGTAACCTGAAGACAGGTGACCATGATCTCAGAGTCCCACCTACCACTCAGCTGGGAGCGAAGGCCATAGCAATCCAGGTCCCTAGTGGGTGGAGGGCATGACGCTTCCCAGGCCCCCTAAGTGCCAGATCCTTGACATCCTTTGTCTCATATCATCTTTTCAAAAGCCTCTGCGAAAAACTGTCCTTAAAAAAAAGGCCTCCCAGAGACTCAAGGCAAGGACGGTGGAGGAAAGAAGACAGAGATGAGAGGTGGGTTTAGGCAGGTGTCCAACCACGGACTCAGACCACACAGGCCTAGCCAGCAGGGCCTGTTAAGTGAAGAGTGAGTACCTGGCCCAAGTCTAGGACCAGGCGCTTGAGGGCCCAGTGCTGTTGTCCAGAGGAGGCCAGGGTATGGCCCACCCACAAGCCAAACCACTGCTCCTGGGCCGGCCCCGTGGCTTGGCGGTTAAGTGCACGTGCTCTGCTGCTGGCGGCCCGGGTTCGGATCCTGGGCGCGCACCGACGCACCGCTTCTCCGGCCATGCTGAGGCCGCGTCCCACATACAGCAACTGGAGGGATGTGCAGCTATGACATAGAACTATCTACTGGGGCTTTGGGGGAAAAAAATAAATAAATAAAATTATTAAAAAAAAAAAAAAAACACTGCTCCTTCCTAGCCCAAGGGAAGCTGGAGGCCTGGTGCTCTCTGTGGCCACTGCTGCTCACACTGGAACCCAAAGCTGAGTCAGTTTCTGAGAACCCCCTCGGGCCTCCCTCCGGCCTGCCCTATGCCTGTGTTCATTTTAATCCAAACTCTTAATAGTCAACCCTAGTTCATGTAACCTTCGAGTTCTTTTCAAGGGGAAAGACTTATAACCACCAGTGCAGAGGTTTCCCAGTGCTGCTGACACTCGCCCGGCAGCTGAGTCCTCACCACAACCTTAGAGTTGGGTACTAGTTTATCCCCATACTACAGATGAGCAAACTGAGACTTAGAGAGGAGAAATCCTTTTTCCCCAGATGGGAAGGGTAAGAAATCAGCAAAGGTTTCAGAGAAGAGATGGCCTGTGGCTGGGGGGGACTTAGATGCTAACTAAATGAAGGAGGGCATTCCAGGCCTTAGTGAAGACACTTTTCCTCACTCCTCTGCAGGGGTTGGCCATAGAGCAACGCCTAACTAGCAACCCCTCAGACAGCTGAGATGCCCCACAACAGTACTGGAGGTGGTGGGGTAGTGTTGCCAGATAAAATACAGAACATCCAGTCAAATTTGAAATTTTCAGATAAACAACAAATAATTTTTAGTATGTTTCCAATATTGCATGACACATAACTATACTAAAAAAATGTGCTTATACTAAAAAATTATTCGTTGTTTATCTGAAATTCAAATTTGAGCACTCTGTATTTTAATTTGCTAAATCTGGCAACTCTAGCCTGGGGTGGCATCCAGTGGGAACTCAGACCCCAGACAAAGACAAAAGGTGTCAACACCTTGTAACCTGGACGGCTATGCACACATCAGCAGTTGTACTGAGATTAGTGGCTAAAAGGAAAGGATTCTGCACTTTATAAATGTACTTTGTCATATAATTATGTCAATTATATGCACATTTAAAATATATATATACAAAAAAATCAGTTTGCACAGGACACAACCTGCTGGAAGCCACTGTTGCAGTGAAGTGGGGGCCCAGGGCCAGCCTAGCCCAAGTTTGTGAGGAGATCTCTCTTCCTTGGGGCCAAGTAAGGAGAGGAGAGTCACTGAGAGCAGCCCAGCTTTGCTCCTTTGGGGACAGGATACCTGAGTTCGAGTCGCAGCTCCACCTCACTTGTAACAAAGGCAGCCTGGGCAACACACTCACTTGTAACAAGGGCAGCCTGAGCACCCAGGGTGGACTGGCATTTTACACCCAGTTCCCTTGTACCCTCACGGTAGATCCTGTCATCATCTCCATGAAACTGAGTTTCAATGAAGTTCAGGAACTTGGCCAATTTCACACAGCCGCCAAATGGCAGAACAAGAATTCCAACCTGGCTCAGGCCCACACACACACCCCATACAACCTGGGTTAGCATACACACCAGATCGCGGAAGTTCCAGGAGTTCACGCAAACTGGTACGCACACCAAGACTATTCAACATTCTTACCCACACACCTGCCCACGAGGACACACCCACTCGGATGTACATGCACAAACAGAGCCGCGGTTCCCGGGGAATTCAGCAAGTGTGTGGCCTGCAGTTCCGCCGCCGCCGGTCCCCGCCGCTTTCCCGAGATTAGCGATGGTTGTTCACACTCCTCCCAACTCCTGGTGGAAACGTTCCAGAGAACTACAACTCCCAAGCACACTCTGGCCTCACCACCAACAGGAACGGCCCGCGCGCACAGCCTTCTGGGATTTGTGGTTCTACCCGGAATCCTGATTGCCGCTCGTCTTCCGGCTTCGGCGGAGGACGCCGTGTCCCAGCATGCTACGGTACCGGAAGACCAACACTCAGAGGGTATCCCGCCGCCGCCCGGGGTGCGCAGGCGCAGCACTGCTGTTTGTTGGAGCCTGTGAAGGGAGGAGGTACGGTCTAAGCCAAGACCGAGGCTGGCCGGAGGTGACCAGACTTGACTCGAGCCCAGAACTAGGCTCCAGTCCGGCGCGGACCGTAGTGGATGGAGTAGGCCAAGCTCTGAGATCAACACCAGACTGGTCGGCCTGTCCTGGGGTCGGCAGGGCAGGCAGGTGTGCCGAAGCCGCCCAGGGCCTTCCTTCAGGTCCCCGGCGAGGGGCCTAGGCCCCGGCCCCGCGACCAGGCCCGGCTCGGCCCTTTGAGACCAGAGCCGACCCGGCCGGAAGTGGAGCCTTCACCGGGGCCATAGGCCAGTGACTAGGCCGGGCCCGGGCCTCCCGTCGGGGCCGGACTGGGACGAGGCCCCGGGGAGGCCCCTACCCCTCTAGACCCTTCCCTCAGGCCGACACCCGCCAGGAAGATGCAGCGCGCCCTGCCGGGCGCCCGCCAGCACTTGGGGGCCATCCTGGCCAGCGCCAGCGTGGTAGTGAAGGCCCTGTGCGTCGCGGTGCTGTTCCTCTATTTGCTGTCTTTCGCCGTGGACACGGACTGCCTGGCGGTCACCCCAGGCTACCTCTTTCCGCCCAACTTCTGGATCTGGACCCTGGCCACCCATGGGCTGATGGAACAGCACGTGTGGGATGTGGCCATCAGCCTGGCCACAGTCGTGGTGGCTGGACGTTTACTGGAGCCCCTCTGGGGGGCCTTAGAGCTGCTCATCTTTTTCTCAGTGGTGAACGTGTCTGTGGGCTTACTGGGGGCATTTGCCTACCTCCTCACCTACATGGCTTCCTTCAATTTGGACTACCTTTTCACTATCCGCATCCACGGCGCCTTGGGCTTCCTAGGTGGTGTCCTGGTGGCACTCAAGCAAACCATGGGGGACTGTGTGGTCCTGCGAGTGCCCCAGGTGCGTGTCAGCGTGGTGCCCATGCTGCTTTTGGGGCTGCTGTTGCTGCTGCGGCCAGCCATGCTGCTCCAGAGCCCGGCTCTGGCCTCCTATGGCTTTGGGCTGCTCTCCAGCTGGGTGTATCTTCGCTTCTACCAGCGCCATAGCCGAGGCCGAGGGGATATGGCCGACCACTTTGCTTTCGCCACCTTCTTCCCTGAGATCCTGCAGCCTGTGGTGGGGCTG